AGGCTACCAGGAAAGAACCCTCGCCCCTTTCTTTGTAAAGAACAGAAATCCGAGTGTGTGACTGCAGCATTTGGCTTGCGTTTTGTAAGCTCTTTGGCCTCCTAAATTGTTAGTGAATTAAATGCCTTTCTGGCCTAGAGGCCGTGGGGTTTTTGTTGGGATGGTCAATCAGAGGCAAAGCGATATTCTGTGTTTCTCGTGAAGCTTCTTGGTCATGATTTGGTATTTTAAAGGGTGTGTTTTGCTATAGAGTTTGCCTTGAGTCGAACCAGGGATGGGAGTAGATAATGTATAAGAAGGCTTCAACATTCATGCACTTTCTTTTGGTTGATTGTAGCTCTCTACTTGGCTTCTTATGAGAGCGAAGGACCCGAAAATCACATAGAGAAAGACAGATGGAAGTCTTTACGGTGAGTGTCATTGCTGCCGCTTGCTGTGCAAGTCTAGAGCAAATGCTGGTTTACTTGAAGAAAGCCACATGCTTTCCACGGGACGTCACTGCCTTCCTGTCCTAAGTCGTCTGCACTTCATTTCCTTTTAACTGAATCTTTGTGGCTTAGAATTTTCATGACTATTATTCAGTTTTATTACCTTTTTTTGATATGGACAGATATACAATGACTCTTTTCTTTTTTGCAACTGAAATGACCCCATAGTATGGTTTAAGAAAAAAAGAAATTGACTAATTTTCTTTGTCTAAAATTCAGATCAAAGTTCAGACTTTATTTCTGAGTCGTTCTAATATCAGAAGTTTGTTTGACCTGAGATAAGGACCAGTTGGCTTGGTAAAGTTGGGTTTGTCACTTACCAACGAGATCTCAAAGCCCCTCTTTAGTTTGAGAGAGAGTTGGGACTTTAAACATAATCTGGAGTTTTTTCCAAATTTAAAAATTTTGCTATTGGTATTTTTCAAACAAAACTAGGATAGGGTTAAATTTGTATTTTAAACATTTGAGTTGCTTTAATAGGCAAAAGTGCATAGAATATAGTATGATATAATCAAGATTGCTATCATTTCTACTAGGAAACTCTGGGGCTGTATTCCTTTTCGTACTGGGTTTGACAAACGCATGTTCTCGTCATCGTTTTGTGGTCCCTGAGCCATCCGGGTGCCTTCGTTATACTTGATACTAGGCCAGATTTCACGAACCAAGATACCGCCTGTTTACTTGGTTTTGTGTGATTTTGTTTGTTTCAAAGGAAAATCTGGGTCTTCTTTGTACCTCTCAATGGCAAGGTCTGGAGTACGAAGGCATCGGTGGTGTTAGCCTTAGCACGAGTGCTGGTGATAGAGCCACTCACTGCAGACACTTAGATTCATCAATGACAATGACAAACACACCCTGAGGGCAGCCACCCTTCTCGTCACTTCTATTTAGACATCCCCAAGGTTCACGAAATGTGTCCTGAAGATGCTTGGATGCGCTAAGTAAACCTGTGCTAAGACCAGCTCCTGCCTAAAAGCTCTTTATCATTAGTGATCTTTGGTTTTTGTGTTTGTATTATAATATGAACCCACTCAAGATATAGATTTATCTGTAAACAAAGCTTTTGCCATCTGCGTTAATATTTGTTTTGAAGTGACTAGCAGTTTTCTCAAAGAACCAGTAAAGACTTCAAAGCTTGATTTTTTTTTTTTCTTTTTCTTCCTGGCTTTAATTCTGTAAGATCACACGTAAAACACAGGAAAGATACAATTAGTATCGGGCAAGGCATTTGAATCCGGGTTCAAATAGTCTGCCGCATTCTGTCTAATACTGTTTTCTTTATTATCCAGGTCAAGCCTCCTAGGCAGAGTTTAACACGTGGGATCTGATCGCTGCTGCTGCCGCCACCTCCTCCTCCTCCGCACCATGCAAATCATCGAGGAGCTGGCCTTTGTTTTCTGGCATCTAGGACTAGGAAAAATCACGAAGACCCCGCAGTCATCGGGGCGCCCCGGTCCGCTATGCAAGCAGCTCACTCCAGAGCAGATGGGAACTCACGTCCCACGGCTGACAGATTGACTCAGAGTTTGAGAGACTGAAATGTTCACTGACGACCACTCGAGAAAGAGTCCTCTGAAGATCCCGGCTCTGCGCATGATTCATCTCCTGGAATTTCCGTGTGAATCACAGCTCTGCACCTGGACGGAGCTTTCTTCTGTGTGTGTGTTTTTATTATTCGGTTGAACATTTGCTGCTAATGGGACTTGCCCAGCTTTGAGCGCTGGCTCTTCGGAAGCCCATGTTTAACTTAAATGAAAAAGGGAGAGGGGGGAGGGGGTCTAAAAGCCCCCCTGTTTGGATCCCAAACCACAGCTCAGCCAGTGTTGCCGGAGAGGGGCAAGACTGGTTGGACGCTGACTTTGTTTCCCGTTAGTGTGTGCTGTGTTGTCAATTCCTCTCCCCCCTCTTCCTACAAGGTCTTGAGTTGGCTGCTGGTTAGCAAACTCCTTTTTACCCATATAAGTTATTTAATATAATGATGAAGCTCAACACTGTGGTAGGAAAATAGCCACTAGGAAGAAAAAAAAAAAAGCAGAGTTTGTCCTTGGACTGCTGAACGTGCTAGAAGGACTTTTTTTTTGCCCTTCTTAGCTGTTTACAACTGACCACTGCTGTGTTCTACAGATGTATTTTTCAGTAGTTTTTTTGTTAGTTTTCCATGAAGCCTATTTTTTTTTTTCCTCTTGTAAATTTAAATGATCTGACTTTAAGGGTCTCGGGGAAAAACCCCACGGCGTAATTACAGTTTAATTTTTTTAACTGACTGTTATTTTTCATTACTTTTTGGAGTCTGTTGGTGACTCAACATGTCGACAAAGAATAAATTGGAAACGCTACCACCCACCCACCCCCCACCCCACGATAGCAGTGAATGAAACAAATGGAAAACACCTTGCTGTTAGTGGTTGCTCTAATTGTGAAACAGTTCACCTTGCTACACATCTAACTAAGCCTGGAGTCGCTCTGCAAACAGCCATTATATTTATTTGCTCTAGGAGAAACTGTAGAGTAGAAATCCATGCTAATGGAAAAAAAACAAAAGCACCATGTTCAAAAAAGAGATGTATCTGACAACTTAATAACTTGGTCCCAAACCCAGAGCGTGTGTGTGTGCGTGCTCACGGCATCTCGGCAGAACTAAAGTAGCTGCAGGCTGTCCCTTTCCCATCATCAATATAGTTTACACTTTGCAGCCAGCAGTTGTGGCACCGTTGTTTTCTTTCACGGATGGAACTGTTGGGTGGGTGGGCTGTAGTCACGGTAGATCAGCTCAAGGGACCCCCTAAAAACGTGTCTGTCCTGGAGGACGTTGCCTTAGGAGTGTGTGCAACGGCCTTTCTTTTCTAAAAGTGAATAATAGCAAGCGTCTAATAAATAGGTGCCAGGCACTTTCTGAGTGTTTGGCGTAGATCACGTCATCATCATCCCCACTTACTAGGTGTGGAAACAGGTGTATAATAATAATAATCTGTCCAAGGCCACCTAGCTAATGAGAGGTACAAAGAGTTGCACTCTGGGCCTTCTAATTTCAGAGCCCGGGCTTTGAACCACACCATCGAGGTATCTCAGATGTCAATCTCCTTGCAAAGGACCTGGGGGTCTTGTTCACATGCAGGTTTGACTCTGGGGGTCTGGGGCGGAGCCCAGGTGTGGCTGCAGCTGCCCGTGTGCGGACGGCGCAGAGAGAGCAGCAGCGAGGCTCTCCCGCCGCGTTCGTAGCAGGAGATTTTAACTCACAGGAGTAGCTGAGTGATGCGCAGAGAGGCCAACGCCGTGGAAAGATCATTACTCACGTTTCCGGAGAGAAGGGACCGCAGGGGAAGCACCAGGGGCAGTCAGGAGGCCGTGGCCTTGGCCGAGTTTCCCGCAGGAAGGGCGGGGCAGGGCCGGTCTGGATGATTCCGGTGGGCTCTGGGCTGCAGGTGGAACGGTCTCTGCTTGCCTGGTACCGGGCCCTGGGATCGAAGTGGGAAATGCCACTGGTGAGTCTGCACCCCTGTTATCCCCCCAATAGCTGTCCCTCTCCCGCTTCCGTAAACTGCTCACGGCAACTCCCGTGCCAGGAACCGAGGTGGCTGATCCTGGCCCTGCTGAAGATAACCACATTGCAACTGTCACCTGCGCCCCGTCCCCTCCCTAAACAAAGTGTATAAAAGACCGTTACACTCTTTGTTCAGGGCTCAGAATTTGGTGGCGAGTCCCCTGAGCCCGCCGGCGTAATTAAACCTGTTCTGCTGCACTTCAGGGCGCCTCTTGGTCTGTTCCCGGCAATCTTGCTGTAACAGGATGACTTAGGAATATGTCTGTATTTCTGTGGTGTGCGAGACTTCGGCACTAAGGGGAGGGTTGGGGGTGTGTTCCCTGCGTTTGTTAGGCAAACTCCTGGGCCCAGGCCTTTGCTGTCGCCCAGAATGAGCCAGCCCTGGGAGGGTCAGTCTCTCCTCTAATGGCAAGATTTTTAAGATGTCAGAACATCACAAGATACAGAAAACTTAAAAAAAACATGATTAATATTAATACAACCCCAGAATATGGCCTTTCCCCGAACCCTGTGTCACTTTAGTTATTGCCGTGACAGCCACCATGTTGATTATTCACCCGTCTACATCAGGGGT